CAGGAAGAAGTCATGTAGCCACAGACTCCCCAACCCTCAGCGGTCAATTGGTATCTTCTCATGGTTTGAATGGCAATGGCCCCATAGACTCCTATGTTTTGATGTGGGAGTGATTTCTTTCTGATCTGTTGCTTTCGTTGGTTAATTAATAAAGAAACTGCCTAGGCCCATTTGATAGGCCAACCCTTAGGTGGGTGGAGTAAACAGAACAGAATGCTGGGAGAAAGAAAGCTGAGTCAGTGAGTCGCCATGATTCTCCCGCTCCAGACAGACACAGGTTAAGATCCTCCCTGGTAAGCCACCTCGTGGGCTACACAGATTATTAGAAATGGGTTAGATCAATATGTAAGAGCTAGCCAATAAGAGGCTGGAACTTATGGGCCAGGCAGTGTTTAAAAGAATACAGTTTCCGTGTAATTATTTCGGGTAAATCTAGCCGGGTGGCGGGACACAGCCCCGCAGATTATTACTACAGTGTTTGAATGCTGGATCCCAGAGTGTGAAACTGTTTGGGAAGGATTAAGCCTTGTTGGAGGCAGTGTCACTGGGAGCGGACTTTGAGGTTTCAAAATCCACACTTTTCCCAGTTAGCTCTCTGCCTCACGCTTGTTGTCTCGGCAGCTACTGCTCCAGCTCCACGCCTGCCTGTCAGCTACCGTGTTCCCCACCACGATGCTCATGCATTCCACCACCTTCTAGACACATGAGCCTCAAATTAAATTCTTTCTTTTATAAGTTGCCTGGGTCATGGTTTCTCTTGACAGCGATTAAAAAGTAGCTAAGACAACGGGGCTGGATCTGGGGCTAAGGAATAAACTATACATCAGGGTACATCAATGGCCGTATCCCCTCTCCCTTCCCATTGCCTGTGGTTTTCATTGTGAGTCACTACTGCCCCCACCCCCACTGAATGCAGGCGGGCTTTGCAGTTTGTTTTGGTCACCAGGCTAGAACACAGGGGATGAGTGGCAGATCTGAGCCTTGGCTTCATGCCTTCCTCAGTTGCATCTACTCTTAGAACTCAACCAGGGCAAGAAGAAGATCAAGTGCCATGCCGGACATGCCCATGAAGAATTGGTGAGAGAGGCTCAGCTGAGGTGCCCTAGTTAGCGGGCTCCAGCCACCACCACAGCTGTCTGTTAACAACTGAGTCCAGCTGAGACTGGAGGAAAGCCTGGCTAAACTCAGCCGGGTTTGGTGACTCAAAGAATCTGTAAGTGAATAGTGATGGGGTTCTTCAGCCAATCAATGCAGGAGGTATTTGTTACACAGCAAAACTAGCTTTCACATATTCTGCAGTAAGGATTACTCCAGCGATGCCCTTTAGAGGTTTATGCTCTGCAACTTTACTGCTTCATGGCCCATAAACAAAACCTGCCACAAGCATCATTGGTCACTCTGATGGGGCTGTGTGTCAGTCAGGCTGAGATGAAGAAATTCCTCCTAACTACACAAACAAAGGGCTAGCTGCGCACACATGAGGACCTGAATTCAGATTCTCAGCACCCACACAAAGAGCCAGGTCCTGCAGGTGTCTGTAATCTCAGAGCTAGAAAGACAGAGAGAAGGGGAGCCTGGGGTTCCCTGGCCAGCCAGTCTAGCAACAGTGACCTGCAGGAAATGACAAGAGACTGGGGAATATACCTAATGCTGACCTCTGACCTATAAAATACACCACACACAACATACACAGCACGCAATGCATACATACACACCACATACATACATATACCACAGCACACACACACAACATACACACATATACCACACACACAACATACACATATACATACACACATGTACCATACACAAACATCACGCCACACCACACCACATACACCACATACAACACACATACAACATATGCACACACCACACCACACACACACCACACACACACACACCACATATACATACCACATCACACCACACACACATACACACACACATACACATACCACCACCACAACACACACACATACCACCATAACACACATATCACATACACCACAACACATACACATACCACATCACATCACACACACATACACACACACCACCACCACAACACACACACACACACACATATACATCACTACACATGTAAGGCTTGGCTGTATCTATGCTCTTTCAAAGAGCATAAAACATGTCCTTCCAGCTCCCCATGGGGTCACCTTTCCTGTGTTCTTCTCACTCAACAGGTGTCTTTTCCATTAGGCGCCCAGCACATTGGTCCCTTCCCTTCCCGGATGGTGGATTCACCTGAATCCCACAGTAGCCTCATGGGAGAGGAACGCAGCAAGATAAGATGAGCGGCAGGGGCTGGGTTTGGGGCTGGAGAAGGAAGGGAAACTTGGCAAAGATGAAAGAGGCAGAGGGGAGAGAGAAGCAGCCAGCCAGTTACAGAAAGCCAGATCTGGAAGGAAGTGTGTTTACTGCCCCTCATGAAGTCAGAACCTGCACACAGCCCTGCCATCTTGTAAAAAGGCTTTTATTTGTCATTTGTTCTTTTTTTTTTTTTCATTGTGAGAGTCCTGGAACCATTAACGGAGCAGAGCCAGGGCAGCTCTGGACACGGTGTGTGTCTGTGTGCCTGCTCGCCTGGCCTCCTCTGGCCTCCCACCCCCACTTTTTACAAGAGCCAACTGGGTTGCAAGGTTAAAGTCGTAGGGGACCCACTGGTGTTGTGGTACTATTTTACAAAGTAAAAGGATCAAAGAAGTTAGCAAAGGGCAAGAGACCAGGCCTGACAGAAGGAGAAGCCAGCAACCTAGAGCGTCAGCCCCAGGCCGGCTGCTAATACCTCCTGGGTTCACCAGCAGACAGAACCTTGTAGGGAACAGATGTCTTGACGAGATCTTTTCCCATTGGCCAGGAAATGAAACTGGAAAGAGAAACAGAGGTTTGAACATGTCTAGGCAGAGAAAAAAGAAAAGTGGGGCCATCATGATGGCTCAGTGGGTAAAGGTGCTCGCCGCCAGGCGTGACCGCGTGAGTTCAACACCCAGGAAGCACACTGTAGAGGAAGACGGCATCTCCTGAAAGCTCTCCTCTGGCCTCCCTGGCTGTGCTGTGTGCACATGCACCAACAATAAGAGAATGACTACATCACTAACGGAGGGGGCAGGGATGAACCGTAAACATCTTTTAATCGTATGTGATGGTTTCCAGCAGAGATCTGGAAGCCAGGGTGAAGCAATAGGGGACCGAGACTGGGTACTTCCAAAGCCAGTCATCTATGTCTAAGGCGGGACAGGACAGTCAAGGAATGCTTTATTAGCGGTTCTCAATCTGTGGGTCACGAGTCCCAACAGGGTTGGTTTGCATACCAGATATCCTGCATATCAGATATTTACATCGCAATTCATAAAAGTAAGAAAATTACAGTTATGAAGTAGCAACAAAATAATTTTATGGTTTTGGGGTGGGTCACCATAGCATGAGGAAGGAACCATATTAAAGGATCACAGTGTTAGGAAGGTTGAGAACCACTGCTTTTGATGATCTGTAAACCATTTCCTGATTCAAGGACCTGCCTTTCCCCTCTTCTTCCTTCCCTCCCTTCCTTCTTTTCTTCTTCCTTCCCTCCCTTCCTCCCTTCTTTCCTCCTTCCCTCTCTTCCTTTCTCCTACTCTCTCTCTCTCTTACTTTACCAAAATGGGTTAGTACTGGCGAACTGGGAAGGCAGAGTAATGACCCAAAGGGGTACACCCTGTGACTACATTTCCTTCCTATTACACTTTAAGGTCCCTAAGCCAGAGGAGAGCTCATGCTGCTATCCAGGCAGAATCTGTCTGATCCTGCACATCCTGAGGCCAGCAGAACCCACCCAAGAGCTTCAGTGTGCACTCAGCCCTATATGCTTTTCCTACAATTACCTGTAGACATCATTCCTATTAGTGCTAAGTCACCATGGTTTCCCATACAATAGTGATCCTATTTTTTTTCTTTTTTAGGTGTTTATTTGGGTAAAATAATAAATGATAAAAACTATTAGTAAGTCATAAAGTGAACTTTATGAGCTGATAATTGGTCTTTAAATGCCTGGGTTTTAGGAAACCCTGGTCTGGAATTTTCTGGAGAACTTTATTTGGGCTTCAGAAAAACCAATGCTTTACATACATTTGCATATATTATATCAAGCTTACCAAAGAGGGTCAGGGCAAAATGGCCTCTGTGATGTTTGACTGGCTGCTGATTTCTCTGCTGGCCAATGGCATGGAGCAGGAAAAAGAAAATGTTTCAAGTAGCCTTGTACTGTAATGGTTCTGGCGCTTTAAACAGCATGTCGTGGGGAAAATACCTCGACATCTCTGGGCTTTGGTTTCCATAACTGTAAAGGAGCTGAGAGGGACCCTGCCTGGGACAGAGAGAGGGGAAGCAGGAGGCTTTCTGAGAAGAAGGTGGCAGTAGAGGATGTCACCCAGCTGCCCGCCATTGGCCAGCCCCTGTTGCTGTTACCAGAGCTCTGCCCAAGAGGGTGTCCTGGACAGACAGTGTCCAGGCATGCCAGGCCCTGCCTGGTCTCTGTCACCCTGACATTCTGCGAGAAAGGAACCCACAGAGCCACGTGAGGCTGCGTAGCCTGGCCATGCATACCCTGCTCCTCTGCAAAAGTTTGGCCCTGCTCAAAACTAGGGCTAAAGACAGAGTGTTCCCTGGCTGGGAACAGAGCGACAGAAGGCTTCCCAGCCCTGAGGAGGGAGGCAACTTCCTGAGCACAAAGCCAGAGGGAAAGAGAAAGCACCCCCCCCCACCCCCATCCCAAGCAAAGGCAACTCTTTATGTCCTCAGCTAGGCTTTGAAAAAAAGAAAGAAAGGAAAGAGGGAAGGAAGGAAGAAGGAGGAGGAGAAAGAGGAAAAGAAGAAGGAGAAGGAGGAAGAAGGAGAAGGAGGAGGAGGAGGAGGAGAAGGAGAAGGAGAAGAAGAAGAAGAAGAAGAGGAGGAGGAGGAGGAGGAGGAGGAGGAGGAGGAGGAGGAGGAGGAGGAAGAAGAAGAAGCCGCTGCCGCCGCCTGGACAGACTTGGGTGTCTCTGCCAGTCACTGGCTGTGCAGCTGCAGGTGAGACACTCTCCTTCTCTGGTCATAGCCAAACCCAGCATTTATTAAGGCCTCTTTCCTTAGAAGGCTATGAACGGTTGATGAGGCTCTGGTCCAGTTTTCCCATATCTGAGGCAGAGAGGCTGGCATCCACCAGTGCTCATCACACATTTCCCCATCCTCCTCCATTCAGCACCCACTGGGGGCCTTTACCATCTGAGCCTCCAGCTGGTTGGTCCCCCTCCTAGACTTTCCTCTTGTGGAAGACAATCAGTGCCTGGGAACACTATGGAGGGAGAGGTGAAAGAGTTATGTTCAACCTCACTAGCTACCTGAGGTGTCCTCTTGGCCATGCTTCTCACCTGGAAAAACGGGGCTGCTTGTGGCAGCTGGGAGTGGAGTGTGGGATGCTGGGGGTGGAGTCTGGGATGCTGGGGGTGGAGTCTGGAAGTGGAGTGTGAGATGCTGGGGTGGAGTGTGGGATGCTGGGGGTGGAGTGTGGGATGCTGGGGGTGGAGTGTGGGATGCTGGGACTGGAGTGTGGGATGCTGGGACTGGAGTCTGGGATGCTGGGGGTGGAGTCTGGGATGCTGGGGGTGGAGTCTGGAAGTGGAGTGTGAGATGCTGGGGTGGAGTGTGGGATGCTGGGGGTGGAGTGTGGGATGCTGGGACTGGAGTGTGGGATGCTGGGACTGGAGTGTGGGATGCTGGGGCTGGAGCTGGGATGCTGGGGGTGGAGTGTGGGATGCTGGGAGTGGAGCTGGGATGCTGTCTGTGAAGAAGGCCCTATGCTCTGGGCTTTGACCTCTGTGCACTGTTTTGGTTCAACTCCCTCTGTTTTCTTGCTTTGCTTTGTTTTGTTTTTCTGGGCCATCTAGTGATCGTAACATCCACAATCAGGCTGACTCCAGTTCTAGTTTACTTCTTTCGTGTGTGTGTGTGTGTGTGTGTGTGTGTGTGTGTGTGTGTTTATAAGTCTCCTGTATCCACAGACATTGGAGACAGAGGATAGCCTACAATGTCACTTCTTGGAGCCCTCCACCTTGAGTCTTGGGGGTGGGGGTCAGGATCTTTCACTGGCCTGGAGCTTACCAGAGATCTGCCCAGCTCCTCCTCCCTGGTGTTGGGATGGCAAGAGTCCCACTGCCTGATTTCGTTTGTTTGTTTGTTTGTTTGTTTTCCCCATGAGCTCTGGGGGCTTGAACTCAGTCCCTGTGCCTATAAGACAGGCTCTTTCCTGACTCCTCCTTTTCTGTCGCTCGCTTCTTCCTTGAGACCTAATGGATCTGCTCATTGTGAGTGAGATTCTGAGCCAGTACTCTTAAACTATATTCATTTATTTATTAAGTGGTGTGTGTGTGTGTGTGTGTGTGTGTGTGTGTGTGTGTATGAAGGTCCATGCGGCAGTCAGTTCTCACTTTCTGTTAAGTAGATCCTGGGGATTGAATTCAGGTTGTCTGTCTTGGTCCCAAGCCTATTTATCTGCTGAGCCCTCTTGCCAGTCCCTAGCCGCGTGGTAACTCACCTGTCTAGGACCTGGCACTTGGCGCTTTCCGAGCTGCCGTCTGTCACATGGGTGAAGCGAGGAGTGTCTGGTTGATTCCTGTGCTCATCACAGCCCCCTCAACAGGGAGGCTGTTTGGAAAATGAACCTTGAGAAGCTGTTCAGAACAGATCAGCTGGAAACAGTGTGAACTTGTGTCCTCAGGCTCCCAGAGGCTGAGTGACCTTGGAGGGAAAACACTGCTCCATGGAGACTTCAAGCTAGACTCAGAACTTTCAGAGGCTGGGAAGGAAGAGCCTTGTCCCATGGGAAGAAACACCCTGCGTCTCTGGAATGTTCTGAGCAGTGTGACCATTCTCAAATGTGGATACATCAGGGTGTGCTTGCAGAGACAAGGGGATAGGGACCTGAGAACACTCCTCAATGCCTATGGGCCCCAGAAATCCTACTGAAGCTCCAGCCAGACCCTCTGGGCCTCCTCCTCTCCCCTGCCCCCCACTAAATTTCTTCACAGCTGTCTCTGTGTTTCAGAGTCCACATCTCTGCCAGGGACTCTATTTTGGGATTTGTGGGAACGGGTAGCTTTTAACAAATAAGAAGTCCAGAGAGCTGACCCCCCTTCCTGCCCCAGGGCTTCCCAGTCCTCTCCTAAGGCAGGAAACCAAACAGGCTGCCCTGGACCCAGGCCCTGGGCATGTGTAAGCTGGAGTGTGCCCGGGCTGTTCACAGAGAGCCCTCACGACTGGCAGAAGGTATCCCTGACTACATTGCCATTGATGTCATTGGGGTGGTGCCCTGCAGGCCATGCATGGTCTGCACACGGAGAGCTGGGCTTTCTTTGCCAACTTATTGCAAATTCCCACCACGTCTAGTGTCTGCACAGAGAGGTGGCATGCTAGATCCTGACGTCGCAGGAACAGGGGCAGGGGCCATAGCAGTAAGAGGTAGGAGCTTCACGATCTAGACACGTGGGGAGGCAGCCTTGTGATTAGGACATGGTGTGGGGGGGGGGATCACAGGACACAGTGGGAGAACGCTAACACAGGACACGGGGCCTCAGGATCAGGACACAGGGGCCTTGGGATCAAAACGTAGGGGCTTTAAGTGGGGTAGCATAGAGGTCCTAGGGGTGTACATGTAGATAGGTCACACTGCTCAAGGGTGCAGTTGCATGTCAATGTGTCCTTGTAACATGTGATTTTCTTGATCTGCTGTGGGCAACTATCTCTGCGGGTGCACTGGTGACCTCATCATGTCTACCTTTCCATGGTGACGCCCATGTTTATGTGTCTTTTCGCTGTGCTCTAGAAAGAATTTTTAAATTTGGCCCGCCAGGTTTGTCGGTGATAATAGGTCATTGCATAAAGCCAGAAACAAGATAGTCACAGTGGCACAGGCCTGTGAGCCCAGCACTTAAGAGGCTGAGGCAGGACGGCCAGGCATTGAAATACAGCCTGGTCTATACAGTGAGACATTGTATCCCAAAGGACAAATCAAACAGCAAGGAACATATATATGTTACATGTGGAAACCACAGCTAGAGAGCAGGAGATCCAACAAACGTATGTTTGACATATTATACACAATAACATAACTATGATGGCATAAGAGAGATAGACCATAGGTAATATCTGTGCAATATCGTATACTGTACAAAAACACGTAGGAGTGAACCTACCATCGGTAAGCATTGTTAACACAGTGCCCGTGCTTCCCAGCCGTGTCCAATTCAAATACACAAAATGAACGATGGTGTCAGTATTAGTCACCCACCTCTGAAAACTTTATACGGGTAAACCGAGGCACGCTGGCCTTGGTAACTCACACGTTTCATCTGAAGCTCAGCAGCCAGAGGCAGGCAGAGCTCTGTGAGTTTGAGGCCAGCCTGGTCTACATGGTGAGCTCCAGGATAACCAGGGCTACATAGAGAGACCTTGTTGCAAAACAAATTTAAGGACTAAAATTATGCCTGTATATAATATAGATTAGTCTACGTACACAAATGAGGAAATAATGGATCTATTACATAAACTACAAATGAGCAAATGTTTGAATATGTTCCTAAGCTTTCTAAGAGGGGTCGTTAAGCCAAGCCAAGTGCCACAGTCCCTGCAGTAGGGCCATCCGGTGGATACCATTTCATAAGCCTTTTTATTATATTTAATGAGCCGCCCTGTCTGCAGATAGCTGACCGCAGCCACTTGGTGTTTCATTTCCTAGGCAACACATAGATAATCTGACCCATAGCCCTCTCTAGACTATTTAGATCATTTACGTGCATTGCAAACAAAACTATAACCTCCATGCCTCTTAGTGCGAGCCAAGAGGCAGAATTCAGGGGTCAAAGGGTGTGTTTATGTAAATGGCTTTCAACACCCAGGTGGTGTCAGGTACTAACACGAGTGACTTTTCTATTTCCTGTGACAGAAAATTTGAGAGAAGAAGTCTAAAGGAGGGGAGGGTTTGTCTGGGCTCCCGGTCTGCGAAGGTTTTATTCGTCAACAGTGGAGAACACACGGCAGAGTTGAAAGTCGCCAGAGTGTGTGGCCAGGACTCCTCAGTCTCCGCAGAATAGAAATGTACCTCAGGCTAGGAAATGCTGGTGCTATGACCCAAATGGCCCTACATCTGGCAGCTAGACGCCTCACCATGCCCAAAAGATTCAGCAACCTCTCAGCAAAGTGTCCCCAGCTGGGGAGCATACGGCACAGTACCCAAACAGCGGTGGTAGCATCCGGTTAGCTTCCACCAGTTAGAGAGGAAGCAGAACTCTGATGCTCCAGGTTTGCCTGCATCCCCTGAAGACATCCAAGGACTCAGGTGAGAACAGAGCTGGCTGTCCCTGGAAGGTTCTGCTTCTAGTGCTCTGTTCAGCAGGGCTCCTAGAAGCCTCAGTCCTCCTCAGGCAGCTGCCCTTCAGACCCATCCTCCCAGGAAGGACAGACGGCAGGACTCAGGTATGGCGCCTTGACTCCAAGCGCCTTCCATCCGAACCTCCTCAGTAGCACACAGCCCTAATGTGTGAACATTGATTTCTGGGGTGACAGGGAGGCCAGGATGATTTACATCCAATTTCCCATCCATGATACATCATTGATCTCCAAGAGTGCTGAAATATTTACTAGGGACAGCAATTCTGGGAGGTCCTTGGCCAGGGCCAGTGAACACAAGGATGAGAGGTGCAGGGAAGGATTATGGGAGGGGATAAGATCCCAGGGAATATGGTCCAAGCCATCTTGGACTATAATGGAGCTGGGAAACCTGGAGTCCTAGGCTTGGTTCTGGGAGGGGAACGGGAACCAGAGAATTTCTTCTTGCTCTCAATAAACGGTACCCAGGGCACCTCCTCAGAGTGGCTGCCCAGGACCCACCCCCTCGTAGGACCCCTCATCATGCTCAACCCATCACAATACTGATTCCCTCCTTTTAAGTTACTGTTCACACACAGTTTTAAGTACATCTCTGAATGTTCCAGAACCACAATGGAGACATAAACCAGTGTTTGTCCACAGGCCTG